GCCAATTTGCTTTTATTTCTATAAAGTCTGATCAAGAACAAGAAAGTGTTAATGAGACCCTCCTTACTCAAGCAATCCAAAAGATGATTCAAGAAATAGTGTTGTAAACTCTTCCAAGTGCAATCTCTTCTGCTTTTTTAATTATTGGGTTATCAGGTAAAAGAATTAAATATACTCCTTGGTTAACTCTACTGCCTTTAATCACATGACTGGCCAAAAACACCTACTTTCTAAAGTCAAACCTTGTTCTTTAAATCAATCAATTACAACAGCTAACGAACAAAAATTACCAATTAAAGGAGTTGATATTGTATGCTTACCTAATACATCCAAAAAATCTGTATATCTACTTAATACATTTTATGTACCACGTCTAATAGCCAACTTACTTTCTATTGGACAATTAGCTGACCAAAATTTTTTAGTTCAATTTTTTTCTCTTGGTTGTGATGTGTAAGACCTTCAAATGGGGCAAATGATCATGAAGGGGCATAAAAGTGGACGTTTGTCTCATCTTGACTTGGATCACACAAAGTAATCCCCATTATGCCTTTCTGTTTTAGTATCACCATCCTCATTTGTTTCATGTGTCAATGATATATAAAGTCTATGACACTGTCGTCTTGGTCATCCATATAGTAGCAAGTTAGAGTATATGTTTAAGTCCAATTTTCTTCTAAGAAAATTTAATTTTCAGTTTGTTTTAGTTAAAAATTGACAAAGTTGTGCTCTTGAAAAATTAGTTAAATTACCTTTTGTTTCTAGTAGTACACATGTTGATGCACCTTTCCATTTAGTTCATTATGATTTCTGTTGTCCCTCACCCATTTTCTTTAGACTTGGCTCTCAATATTTTGCTTTATTTATTTATCAATTTACACGATTGACTTTTGTATATTTTTTAAGAGTTAAATCTGAATTAACAAGCATAACAAAGACTTTTATCACTATTATTGAGACATAATTTGGTAAAACGATAAAAAATTTTTGTTTAAATTTTGGTGGAGAATTTTGTGCATTTGATCTTATCAATTTTTTTCAAGAAAAAAGAATCATAGCTCAACAATCATGTCTCGATACACCTGAATAAAATGAGGTAGTAGAGTGAAAAAATCGTCATGTTTTAGAAATTACCATAACTCTTTTACTAGAGTCTTCTGTTCTTCCAAAGTTTTAGGTAAAGGCAGTCCATACGGCTGTCTACCTTATTAATCGACAAACTACTCTCATTCTTGATAAACAATCACCATATTCTTATCTTTATCAAAAATCACTAGACACTTGTATTTTCAGGTTTTTAATTGTGTTTGCTTTGTATTATTATCTCCACATGAGCGAACTAAGTTATCTGCAAAGGCTACTAAATGTGTTTTTCTCGGTTATAATGATAAATAAAAAGGCTATATTTTCTATGATCCCTACCATCAATGTATGTGTGTGTCTTGTCATGTCATTTTTTAAAAAAAATATATATTATTATGTGTCATCTTCTAGTCCAACAGATTCAGTTTCTTCCAATTACTTTTTATATGATTTTTCTAATCCTCGGACCAAGGATAATGAAGCAACATCTACAATGCCACTTAATGATTCTAATTTTACAGGTCCTTCCTCCATAATTGTCATTGATGAACCAACACCAAGTTTACGATCTTTGAAAAGATCCACCAATGTCAACTTTGGTAAGTTACCTATTCGGTATACTTTATTTATTAACCTCAGTTTTGTCAAGACTCCTACTTTTAACCAGGTAACAAAATTAGCATGTTGGGAAAAAGCAATGGAAGAAGAACTTGAGGCATTGGAGGAGAAACATACTTGAGATTTAGTTCCTTGACCACTTGATACATTGATAATAGGGAGTAAATGGGTTTATACCATTAAAGTCAAATTTTATCGTACTTTAGATCAATACAAAGCTCGCTTAGTTGCACAAGGATATAAGAAAGAATATGGGATTGACTATGAAGAAACATTTGCTCCTGTGGTTAATATCATGACTATCTGCACACTATTTACTGTAGCATCATGTAAGAAATAGACACTGCATCAATTAAATGTGAAAAATGCTTTTCTTCATGGAACTTCGAAAAAAAAATAGTTTATATGGAGTGCCCTCTTGGTTATTCTCATACGGATCCTAATATGGTTTCGTTAGTCCGTAAATCTCTTTATGGCCTTAAACAAACTCCAAGAGCATGGTTTGAAAAATTTTAGTTGACTATTTGTTCAGCTAGATTTCAACAAAGCTCTAATAAGGCATGGTTATTACTAGTAGTGATATGGTATAGTTGTGTTGGTTCTTTACGTGGATGATATGGTTATTACTGGTAGTGATCAATAAGGCATTGAAGAGTTCAAGAAATTTCACAATGATTTCTTTCACATGAAAGATCTTGGCAAGCTCACTTATTTTCTCGAGTTAAAAGTTTTATATTCCTCTAATGGCATACTTCTCACCCAATGCAAATACATCGAAGATTTACTCAAGCTAGCCAATCTTACTGATAATAAAATTTGTGCCACTCCAATGGAACAACATTTAAAACTAAAACGAGGTGATGGTGCACTTATCTCAGATCCCACTATATATCGATGTTTGGTAGACAGTCTAATTTATTTGAGTATTACACGTCCTGATATCTTGTTTATTGTCCAAGTTGTGAGCCAGTTTGTTTCTTAACCTAAACGACATCATCTTTCAGCTCTTCATCGTATTCTTCATTATTTAAAAGGTACTTGTGATCGTGGGCTATACTTTTCGTCCAATACATCACTCACTCTCACTGTGACATCTCAAGTGCTAATTAAGGCAAATGGGAGTCAAATACAAATTCAGAAAAATGGGTGCATGATAAACTTTATGCAACGAAATCAAATCATAAAAAATCCATTACAAATATATATAATGTTCCAAATATATACATAAACTGAGGACAGAAGTGGCTACAAAATACAAAACATAGGGACCACTTTTTTCACTATGCTACTAGATTCATCAGAGTGCGGGAACAGTCATGCACTCAAACTTGTGGATCTATGGGATCCTTATAGACTTCCAAGGGCAAGTCTGCTTGTGGTTCCTCACTTTCTTCCTCATATGGAGAGGGGCATGGAAAGAGTGAGTTCCATATGCTTAGTAAGGAAAAATAGTATTAAATTAACATCGTAAGATTTTAAAAAGTTTCATTATTTTATCTTACCATTTAGTTTCTTCATTTTACCTATCTCACCATTATGAAAATATTTGTTCGAATACGAAACCGCCACACTAGCACAGAAGATCAATTTATACATCATGGCAGATATTAAAGAAATCAAATAAATCATGAAATGCATAGATTTTTCATGTCATGCTTCCCAAAGTCATTACAAACTTCCATCTCTGATGGCAGATACAGATTTTCAACTACCCAAGTGGAATGACTAAATCAGATACAGGCACAATAATTTGCTCAGTCCCACTTTCGATTGGTTAAACCATGGTACAATTAATGACCACAGTCATATCAATCATAATGGCCCTAACAGATATCTATAGTGCAATACCACTCTCATGGGTTACCATTACAGATAGTGCGATACCACTCTCGTCAGAGGGCACACCGTCATCCACTGGGAGCGGTTCTCTTGCTCTTTCCAGACCAAATAAGGGAGGGTGAAATAGATACTCCGAAGGGTAAGAGGAACAGATACCTCTTAAAGATAAAAAGCCTAACGAGATATTTGATACAATATGCATGTCAATATAGATACACATCGGATCATACAGGCTTCATTCCACTTTTCTCTTTTTTATTTTTTTTATTTTTACTATTATGGGTTACATATTACATTTATTACATGCAAATTTATCAAGTGTCTATAATTCACATAGCATGCTTGAAAATCATAACAATTCGACTCATTTGAATACAGAAGCATACAAAACATGCAAAATAAATATCGTATTAAATTCACTTATCTAAAAATACACCTTAAGATGTTGAAAGTAATATTAGATTCCTTATCAAAACCTCGATGATTTCTTCTTCACTATTTTCCTTTCTTTCTCTTCTTCTCTTGCTAATCTACTATCTCTCTCTCTAAATCTTTGAAAAATAGAAAAAATAGAAGTGTGGATGGGAAAGGAAGAGGGGCAATTTATAAAATTTTAGAACAATTGGATTTGCGACAAATGGCAAAATCCAATGAATAGAGAGGAAAAAATATTATTGACACAAAAAACGAGAGAGAATGACCTATCCGTGCAAGTACTTGGAATGCATTGGCACAAAAATTCCTTAGTAGGTATTTTCCTCATTCTATAATTGCACAATTAATTAATGAGGTTGCTAGATTTTTGCAAGGAGATTCAGAGACCCTATTTGAGGCCTGGGAGAGATACAAGAATATGCTAAGAAGATGTCCTCGAGAAGAATTCTCTATTTGGCGGAAAGTACAAACCTTCTACAATGGAATTAATAGCCAAGTCAGAAGCATGATAGACGATTCATGTGGAGGTTCAATATATATGAAGTCACCTGAAGAAGCTTATGAATTGATAAGGGAGATGGCTACCAACTCAAGTGAATGGCCTATTGAAAGACAATTTACAAAGAAAGTAGCTAGAATTTATAATATAGATGTTTTTAAAGCATTAGCAGCTTAAATGGAAGCATTTAATAAGAATCTACAAGAGTTGCAATTGTAAAAATTGTAGCTATTTGTGATTCTTGTGGAGGAGGGCACTCGAATCAACAGTGCCAAATAGGTCATTTGCTGTTAATAATTTCCCTGGACAAGCTAACTTTATTAATAATTTTCACATGTAAAATGATCCCTTCAACAATACTTACAATCATAATTGGAGAAATCACCCAAATTTCTCATGGAACGACAATAATAACCAAGCGAGATAACCACCACTAGGATTCCAACCTCAACAGTATTCTCCACTGTAAGAAAAGAAATCTAACTTGGAAGAGCTGATGATAACGTTAATTAACTCTATCGAAGCAATGTTGCAAAATCATGTGGCTTCCATGAAGAATCTAGAGACACAAATTAGACCGCTTACCAATGTTATTGCGGGTCAAACTCAAGGGTCATTACCAAGTAACTCAAAGACTAATCTCAAGGAGTATGTCAAGGCCATTACACTCAAAAATGGAAAGGTGTTGGAGGAGCCAAAGCAAAAGGTAAAAACTGATAAGGTAATTCAATCAAACCCAGTTAAGGTAAGTGCAGAAGAGCAAAGAAATAAAGATACTAGCTCTATAATTCTCAATTCAAACTCAAGTGTAGATGTTAATAAGTTTTCTTACCTAGATAGAATTAAAAAGGAAAAGAAAGATGCTAAGTTTGCTAGATTTTTAGAGATCGTTAAAAAATTACAGATTAACATTCCATTTGTTGAGGCTTTGATGCAAATGCCACAAAATGCAAAATTTCTTAACAATATCCTTTCTAATAAGAGAAAGATTGAGGAATATGGCACAGTAATGCTCACTGAAGAGTATAGTGCCCTTATACAAAATTAGTTGCCTACAAAGCTTAAAGATCCAGGGAGTTTTTTTGTACCTTGTGAATAAAGAAAATTTAAATTTAAAAATGCATTATGTGATTTAGGTTCTACTATTAACCTAATGCCATTATCTATTTGTAGGAGACTCAACCTTGGGGAGATGAAAGAGACACGCATGGTTTTGCAATTTGCAGATAGATCAACTAAAAGACCTATCATTAAAGATATTTTGGTAAAAGTAGGAGAGTTTATTTTCCCTGTAGATTTTGTTATACTTGATATGGATGTTGAATCTGAATTATCATTGATTCTAGGTAGACCATTCTTAGCCACATCTGGATCATTAATAGATGTAAAGAATGGTAAATTAACCCTTAGGTTCAATAAGGAGATAATCTTTGATATCAAGAAGGCAATGAAAACTCTTTCTATTATTTTGGATGATTTGTGTTGTGCAATTGATATTATTGATGAGTTTATAGATGAACAACAACAGGCCATTCTAACGGAGGATAATTTAGAGAGATGTCTCATGCTATCAAGCACAACTAAAAAGGAGGATACAAACTTGAGAAAGGAAGTGATAGAGTTGGAAGGTGAATCTCTATTAGACAATGTGCTAGGAACAAAGGAGGAGCCATAAGTGGAGACAATAAAAATGGAGCTTAAGCCATATTTTGAAGGACAGTTCAATCTGGCAACTGAAGCCTTCAAATTGAGAGATTGAGCTCCAAAAAGAAAGTCAAGCTAACGACTATAACTTAGAACTACTTCTCTACCTTTATATTTAATCATGTATTTTCTTAATTTTTAATTTTTAGGACTAATTATTCGTTTATTTTAATGTAGTTTGCCAATCCTGAATGCTACATTTTGGTTTAAGCATGAGGTCGCTTCTTGGATTTGACTCATGGGATAGTTTAAGTAAGTTTTTCATCACTTTGGCAAGGTTTTGGAGGTGTTAGACCTGACAAACAATAGAGGGTAGCAAGCTACATGAGCATCTACATGGTCATTGCAGTCGCTCATGCACAATTAAACTTAAGCAAAAAAAAGGGGGATAACAAGGTACATGACCATCTGCATGGTCATGCACGCAGTAAATAAATGATTTTCGGGGCAAAAAATGGCATGGGTAGCTGCATGCACATCCTATTGAGAAAAAAAATTATTATTAAAAAAACAAAAAATTAAATGAAAACCCAGCTGCCTCCTCTTCATCTATTTCTCTTAAATATATCTTAGCTTCAATTAAAATGTTAACTACTAATAAAAATGCAAGTTTGAAGAAATTTCAAGTATCATCCATAGCCACGGTGATCGCCTAGATAGAATTGAGCGATGATTGGATGATTCCAAGGAAGAGGGCGACCGAGAACATTCTTTCCCATCACACTAGAAGAGATTGCAAGCAGTTTTTCCTCATGAAACAAATTTTAGGAGAGTATTCTATACTTTTATGTTTCAACTTTATCATCTCCTTTGATTATTCTTCTTAGCATTGAGGATAATTCTTATTTTAAAAGTGTGGGGTAAGGTAATTGAAAATTTTATGAATCCATGCATACTTAGCATTTGGCTTGTCAAGCTTGAGCTTGTTGTTGAATTGTTGAACTTAAGTGTTGGAGAATTTTGATGTGATAGTTAAAATCATTTATTTCAATTTTGTAGGTCTAGTACATTCCATGTATTTCATCTTTATTCCAAGTGACTTAAATTTTCTTGAAGCTTTTAAATTTCTTGTATTATATTGATATAGGGATTAGCCTTATGAACGCTTTAAGTGGTATTAGTTCTGCTTTTTACTAACTTTTATGTTCCTTATACCTTATTGGTTATTCCCATTTTCTCAAAAAGAAAAAAAAGTGAAAAAAAGAAGCACCATAGTAGGTTACTCCACTAATCACTCCATTTTAACCGCCAAGTGGCGTAGCCTAGTGGTTCAGCGCTATGCTAGCTTAACTAGAAGTCTCAAGTTTGAGCCCTGGGAATGCAAGATTGATAATGGTGTATTTTATATACAATCGGGATTGTTTTTGCTTTAGGTTTTGTTATTTTTGAGTAATTTTCATTAGTTTTTCATTTGATTTTAGTTTATTTAGTCACTTTAGTTTATTTTATGAATTTGAGGTGATTTTAGGAAAGTTTGGAAAGTTTAGGATGATGGCACAAAAAGGGCAAAAACCTGTACCGGAAAATGCATGCGCATGCAAGTGGTGATGCACATTAGTCTTGGAGTCCCTCTCTACATAATATTTTAAAGACATAAATTTGCATGGGTAGGCGCATAGTCATGCAGATGGTCATGCGAGAAAGACAAAATTTTTAATTTTCCTAAATGGCTTAAGATGCTTTATTCTCTTTCCTATTTCACCTAGGATTTGTATTTAGGAAAGTTTGTTAATTTACCTTAGTATATATAGGATATATTATTGGTATTCAAAAGAGACTCTTTTAATTCAGAGATTGTTCTAAGTTAGGGTTTTTCTTCTTCTTCTTCCAGGAAGATTTCAAACTCCACTGGAGAGGAGATCAAGCTCAAGACGAAGACAAAATCCCAAGTTTAATTTTATTTTATTATGTTTTCTTTTAGTTTTTGCTTTTTTTTCCGATTAAATTATGGAGTAAATTTCTTTTGTTAAGGAAAACATGAACCCTAAACTATGAAGAGTATTGATTTTGATTAATGATATCTAAGTTAGTTTTATGCAAAATCATTAAGTTTAATGCTTGTTTGGATATTTTGTTGATTGAATTCCTTAATGATGTGTCGACTAGGGAAGTTAGGATTTTCAATTGATGGGATTTTAATGCATGATTATTATTTGCATAATAGGTTAATAACAGATTTATTTGAATAGATAATCTGAAATTGCCTTGTGGCATGTATTTGTATTCCTAAATAAGGTCAGATAATTAGGTTAATTAAATACAGATTTATATGAAAGTGTCATAATAAGAGTTTCGTTAAATCTAAAAGGTTATATCCCTGAATAAGGATAACCATGCTTTAGAAGTAACCTGTCAATCTCATCTCAGATTTCGTTATCAATATTGATATCTATAAAGTTTGAGGGAATTGTGGACCCTAACGTTGTTTTAATGATTGATTCATCTTCAATTTACT